GCGTTCTTTCCTGCCATCTCCCTTGCTGTATTTTAATGTCTCTTCTTCCCTAGCGAGAACCTTGCCTCCCAAGAACATGCACGCTCTCACTCCTTTGCTCAGACCTATAGCACGTCTAAAATAGTTGCATGATGGCTTTCCCCATAACACTATAAGAAACAAGCCTACTGAAAAGGGTTTGGGGTTTTTTTCCAGCTCCCCCTGTCCCAACCCTGCCAGAGACTTGAGCGTAAAGAGTTCAATTCTGTGTTCCTAAGTTACTTATATGACTTTTCTCTCCCACCCCTTCAGCGGTTGTGTTTATGATGTTCATTTGAAATAAAATTGGAGTGATTCGTTTCAGTCCACTTCCAGTTTTATACTCGTCCCCACTTCCTGTCCCCGTTAATTTACTTTTTTCAGCTATGTAGGACATTCATATCTTCCAAATGTGGAAATTATGCAAAAAGCTATACAGTACTCTGAGCAGTGTCCCCCGCTGCCATATCCTTCCACCCAGCTGCCCAGTCGCTGTTCCACCACCCAGGATCACCCCGTGTCGATCAGCACCTTCACTCTGGTCTGGTTGGTTTGTCCTGTGTTTCTATTTGCAAAGATAAGTAGCTTTATGTTTCCCCCTTTCCTAAGTGCCCAAATCTCATTTATGTTCCCAATCGTACATGCTTGGAGGTGGCCTTCCCACTTTACTGGCGAGGAAACTGAGACTTCTCGCCTGTGTTGTTGCAGACCTTTGTGCCTCGTTGATAAATGGCCTGTTTTCGGAGCTTTATGGTTTGGATGGAGCTGCTTAAGATGCCCTGACTCATGCAACATGCAGGTAGTGGAATGCAGCTTTCATCCGTGCAGTTGTGCCATGGGCACCCGAAGCCCTGGGTCTGGGACCACTGCCTCTCCATCTGGTTTTTAAGGCGGGATTGTTCTTTTAGACTGGAATTTGCGATGTTCCTAGCCTATCACACAGGCTTAAATGAGCGTGTGGGACGTGGCTGGGAGGTTTTGTGTTTTTTTTTAATTCAGGTGAAATTTACATAAAATACAATTAACCATTTTAATGTGTGCAATTCAGTGGTATTTATTGCATTCATGATGTTGTGTGACCATAACCTCTATCAGACTCTAAAACATTTTTATTCCCCCAAAGGAGACCTGACCACCAAGCGGTCACTCCCCCTCTGCTTCCTCCAGCACCTGGCAGCCAAGGATCACTTTGTGTTTATGGATTTGTCTGTTTTGGAAATTTTATATCAATGGAATCATACCATATGTAACCTTTGGTGTCTATCTTCTTTCACTTGGCATGATGTTACAACTTGGCACCTTATGGCATGTATCAATACTTCATTCCTTTTTATGGCTGAATAATATTCCACTTTGTGGATACACCACATTTTGTTTATATACTCACCAGCCGATGGACATCTGGGAGGGTTTTGAGTGAAGTTGGGGAGAAGACTGGCTTGTACGCTGCACTTGCTATGACTTCCTAGCCATGTGACCATGGACAAGCTGCTAAACTGGGTTGTGCTTCACTTTCCTCATTTGTTATATGAGGGTAATAATAATGTCTAACTTTTCAAGTGGTTGAAGGATTGAATATGATAAAATACGAAAAGTTCATCGCACACAATGGCAAATAGTGGGCCCCCATAAACATTAGCTGTTCTACCGTAGGATTATGTGAGGAGAGGGCTGGGTGGGGAGGGGAGGGGTGGGCAAAGAGGAGAGAGAACACGAATTTGTGTTATAGTAGGTGTTTTAGTATGTGTTTGTTCTGTTGTAGCTGCTCAAACCTTTGTGCTTTGTTAAATAAAAAAAAGAGCCTATCTGTGTTCCCTGCTTTGTGGTTGTGTGCCCCCCCCCCCCCCGCCCCCCTGCCCACACACACACAGAACACGGGCTTTTACGTTTAGAAGCAGTTCACTAGACAGAATGTCTGTAGTGGAATGTTACATAATTCACATTTAGATTTGAAGAGCTCATTATAAAAACCCTGACACACTTCAGGAATATTAAATTACTGCAGATTGTGTGGAGCAAAGAAACATTATTGAAGCATTTCAAAATTCTAGGCGAGCTTGAATTTAACTGATAGGGTTTCACAGCTTTTACCGGGGAAAAATGATTTGAGCTGTCACATGGTTTCTGGCCCTAGAGGACGTTAATCTCCTTAATTACAAAGAAAAAAATTTCCTAAATAATTTGGAGTTACTTCACAGCATTTGCTCAACCTCTGGCTTTTGGAAAATTAAAGGGAACGTCAGGCCTGGGCCGTGGTCCTCTCTCTCCATACTGCAGCTTCCCTGCTGAAGTTTTCATTTGAAAAGATGCTGGTTTCCTTTCGTTATTGATTCAGGGATGTATTTCAGAAATGCACAAGTGACGCTTGTGACACTTGAACACAATCACATTTTGTCGAACGAGTGATGCTGGAGATACCCGCGGAAGAGGGAGTGGGGCTGTGTTGTATTTATGGATTAGGTACCTACTGTGTGCAAGCCCAGCATGAAGGAAATGTCTCAGATTCCACTATTCCTCAATTTATCCTTAGAAAGCAGACTTAAACTGCCTTGGATTCCTCCTCTGTACAAGGAGCATAATAATATAGACTTGTGCCCACATACCGGCCATGTGACCTTGAGCAATTAACACAGTGCCTGATGTTTATGAAGTGCGTGCCAGGAGATGTGCCAGGCACTCCTCTAAGCATGTTACACCTTTGATCACACTTCATTTCCACTGCTGCCCCATGAAGTTGCTACTGCTCTCCCCATTATACAGATAGAGAAACTGAGGCAAAGAGGGGGTTGAGTCATGTCCTCAATGTCACATTGCTTGTAAGTGACTCAAACTATAAAGTTGGCCAAAAATCAGATCGTAACTTAAGAAGGAGAGATTCCATTTGACAGAGGGATCAGAACATCTTTCTGCCTGAGATGCCTCTTTGAACTGAACCTTGAGGAGTCAGTGGAATGTCAAGGCAGACTGGAAAAGAAAGATTCCATAAAAAGGTAACAGCACAAGGGAAAATTGGGGAGACGGGAATGTATGTCGCCTCCCTACTGCACTTAGGCTTCCTTTTATTAGTTTGGTGGTTAATTTCAAGGGTCCTTGCACGTGCTGGTCCTTCTGCCTGGAACAACCATTCATTCGTTTATTATACATGCATTTACTGAGTGCCCGCTGGTCCTTTCCTTGCCATCCACCTGACAGAAGCATCATTCTTCATGATCCCGCAGTGTAGGGCTTCTTCTCTGTGAAGCTTTAGCGATCCTTCCACGCAAAGGTGAACATTGCCCCTTTGTGCCCCAGGATGCCCGGTATTTGTCTGTTTTAGCTCTGGTCACACGTGTGCAGTCCGTTACAGGACTGATGCCTCTGCTAGACTGAGCTGCTTTGAGGACAGGAATCAGGCTTTGAGCCTGTGCTCTTGGCCAGTGTGATTGAGCAGTGAATGTCTGTTGACATGAGTGAGCCAGCATTTGCACCTGGCTCATGGTAGGTTCTTAGTAGATATTTGTTGCAGTGAAATGATAAGTATTATTAAGGAAATTAATCATGCCCATATATGACTGAGTTTTGTGACTCACCTCATGGAATCTTGTCTTTTGCGGGGGAGAGGTAAGGAAGGGGATGTGGGCTAGTGCATGGTGCAGATAGATGACACACAAGTGGCAGGAAAATTCTCATTTTCTACACGTGATTTCATGGACTCCATTCTAGGAAGATCATTTTCGTTTTCCTTAGTTGTGGCCTTAGATGCTGTAGTTCAAGCTCCTCTCATCCAGGGCCAGTGTTCTTTTTAAAAAATAGACTGCTCATTGCAAACAAACCAGATGTCTCTGGATAAGGTGGGAATTTCCTTATACTTAAGCCTTATTATTAATTTTATGTGGCTTTTATATAGGCCTTTTATGAAGCCATCTTTAATTGTTGTGATTAAGAGGTTTCGGTCATTATTGTCTCTGAGCTGAACTTGGCGTTCAGGGCCAGCCTTTCCGGATGAAGCAGTTCTAGAGCTGTGGGACGAGCTAAGAACCGACAACACGGTTTGAAGATCCATTTCCAGTAGGTTTATCTTAATATTCTTTAAAAATGGATAACTAGTGAAATGTTTATTTTCAACTGAACTCTCAGATATAACCATCAGGTAAATAGTCACTGGGAAAGACTGTTGACTTGACACAGGGAATACATTCATTCAATTTAAATGAAATCGAATGAGATAATGCATGTGAAGCTGTAGCTGAGGGCATAGTATATAGTAAGTGCATAGTAAATACTGGCGGTAATTGAAGTGGTTGTATTATCATTATTATCATTATTATCTCTTCCCAGCACAGTGTCTGAACTTAATAGTACCTAGTAGTGTGCAATGCATATTTATTAAACAAAGAATGAATGAAATGTGTCTGCCTGCTTCTTTTCTTTTCTTTTTCTCCCCACATTACGTGCTTGTCTGCTCTTATAGCTAGGGGAAAAGCTGACATAAAAATTGGCTCGCTGGAAAGTTTCTCAGCCCCATTTGTCACCTTACCCTTGGAGCCCAATTGTATGTCAACTCCATGCCCCCTCTGATGCCTGCCAGTGAGGGACAGACCACAGGTCACTTCCCCGTGATCTGCTTTAGCTGAGCAAGCTTCTCTCATGGATGGGTGCCCTGTTGTTGGAAAGGTCTCCATGACGCTGGTCAGGAAATTCGCCTTTGCTCTATTTTCTGGGTGGCACCTAAGAAACATGGAAAACAAAGAGTTGGGCTTTGCCCCTCTTGAAAATCCAGAGTTGAAAGATCTGTTTTGAGTTAGCTAGTTTGAGGAAGAGATTTGCAGTTAGACTTCTCACTGCGCGCGCTGGGTGAGCCCTGCCGAGGCCTTGGTGAAGTCAGACGAGCAGTTTGTACATGGAGACCAAGGTTTTCCTGTTTTTGTATGTTTGCCAGCTCATCACCCCCCCCCCCCCAATTTCTGTTTAACTTCTGAATGTTCTCTTCCCTTGATTTGCAGCTCTGGGAAAGAGTGAATGAAATGTGCGGCTCGGGGTGTCATTTCTGAAGGCAGGAGCCATTCTCTTGGAGAGGAGTCCTCAATGAGCCTGGCCCAGGCCCGGGATCTGTGTGAAGTGGACTAAGGATTTAGTAGGATGTCAACTGAGACAGAACTTCAAGTAGCTGTGAAAACCAGCGCCAAGAAAGACTCCAGAAAGAAAGGTAGGGCTGAATTTGTTCCTTTCTTAACGGCCACTTATCTGTACAGGAATGGGTTTTTAAAAAAATCTCTGGAATGGAATATAGTACTATCTTTGTGATTGCATGTATTTTTTTAATAGTCACCAGCATTATTTGGTGTTTTTTGTACTTGTAGTATTATATTTTAATGGCTCTCTGTTCTCTGGGTAAAATCCAAAATTCTTTTCAAAATATACAAAGCCTTTCTTGAGATGCCTTCCACCTACCCCTGTAGAAACATGACGGCCTGAGCCCGCCCCTCCCCCTGTGTCCAGCCCTGCTTCCCCTCCAGGCATTCTGTGTGTTGCTGTTCACCTTTGCACATCCCAGTAGTTCTCAAATTGCAGCAGCACCAGAATCACCGGGAGGGCTTGTTAAAACAAGATTGCTGAGTCTCATCCCCAGAGCTTCGTGTTCAGCAGGTCTGGGGTGGAGCCCAGAGTCTGCATTTGTAACCAGTTCCAGGATGATGCTCATGCTATTGCTTCAGAGACAAGACTTTGAGAACCCCTGGACCATCAAGCCAGCCTGAAGTCCTCGTGTCACTCTCCGCTTTTCTACACCGACTCTTGCTTACTGTTCTGGTTTGACCTTAGTGTGACCTCCTGAGGGGCCTTTCTTTACTCCCCAAGTTGGGCAAATTGCTTTTGTCTGTTTCGCTTCAGTAGCACTTTGTTAGTATCTCACTTTATTAAAAATGTCCTGTGTTTTTGTTTGTCGGCTATAGCATACACTCTTTCAGAGGTGGACCTCTTGTTTGTCCTTTAACTCCAAACACTTAGAAAGTGCCTGGTGCAGAGGAGGCACGTAGATGTCTGGTAATGAAGATTGGCATGCATAGTGTGATAATAAAGTGATTCATTTCTCACATTTTCTGGAGGATTCAGCCCTATGGCTTGATGATCAAGTTTGTTGCTGTGTAATTAGATGTAAGCAACTTCTTGCTTTGTGTGTGTGTGTGTGTTCTCCCTGTGCTCTCAGCCCTTTCCGTCCCCTGTCTTCCCAGCTGCGTGGAGGAGGATTCATGGAGCTCCCTTTCAGGTCTGGAAGTCTGTCGGTGCGGGCTTGCATACCGAGATGCCTTCGGTGGCTTCGTATGGGCGGTGATTTGTCGGAGACATCGCTGTGCCTGCCCAGTCATGCTCTGCGATGGCATTTGTCTGACACTCTCTAGGAAGCAGGGGATGGAAATGTAATACATATGCAGCTCTTGGACAGCCAAACCCCAGGAAGGACTATAAATTTTGCTTTACATGTTTATTTGAAGCACAAATATTTTAGAAGCAGTCTATTTTATTCCCTAAAACTTAATGTAAACCTTGTGTTTTATGCATCATGGTCTAGGAATAATAAAAGGAAATCAAGTGGGTGAGAGAACAGGTCTTGGGAGAACTGCTATGTGGAAAAAAAAAAAGATTGCAGAGCCTGATATATGCTGGAATTCAAATGCTTTTTTAGTGGAAACTGACAAGTTATATTTTTGCTTCAGATTTAACCTTTCCACTAAACTTGTGCTCTTGAATGCTTAATGCATTAAAAATTGTATCTTAGTGTATATCTTTTCATTCTTAATTTTAACATGCAAAACCAGAAGCATTCTGAGCAGAGAATTCAAGATTTCAGAATATCGGCTTTGTTGAAGCTTTGGAACGGGAGCATGAAGGTGATCGTTTTAGACGTCCTCATCTTTAGGTCCTAGGAAGCTCTAAAATCAGCACAATACATATGCAAGGAGTGTGGCTAATACCCTGGAGTCTGGGCAGGAAAACCTGGGTTCAAATTCTGGCCATCCCACTTCCTAACTGTGTGACCTTAGAACGTCACTTAACCTCTCTGAGCCTGTTTCCTCTCCTGTAAAAAAGGATGTAATATTACAAACCTCAGAGCCTCACTATGAAGATTAATGGAAATAAGGAAAATAAAACACTTAGTGTAGTACTTGGCGTATAATAAAAGCTCGATAAATTCCAGCCGTGTTCCTCCTCCTCTTCTTTTTCCTCCTCCCTCCACTCCTCTCCTCACCTCTTCTCATCCCTTCCTTGCGTGTCAGCCTCTCCATTTTCCTCCTCTCCCTTCTTTTCTCTATCTCTGTTCCCATTCTCACTTCCCTCCTTCTCTTGCTTTTCTTCTTTGTCTTCATCACGTGGTTTTCTCTTACTGCGTTCTCTAGCCAAGGGGATCTTAAGAAAGTATAGAGCTGATTCGTCTCAGAGCAAGATTTTACAATTGTTTGTAATTATGCAACAATGATAAACAATCTTTATTCTCCATGTACTTGCCTAGACCAAGGCACCTTGAAAGCACACTCATACATTAAAAAGAGAGAATGAGAGAAAATCCTGGTCACAAGATTAATTTATTGTTTGTTCTTCAGTTTTGACTATGGGATAGTAAGTATTCCATCAAACAAATGTTTAACAACATTTGTGGCTAACTGGGCCAAAATAAGTAGAACTTTAAAAGGGAATAGATAGTTTATGTAGTGATGTTAAATCTTGAATGTAATAGTATTGCTCAACTCTTCTCCTAATACTTTCTCCAACTTCTCTTTGATTTTCTAAGTAGGCAATGTATAACCTTATAAGTAAGTTTCTGTCTTCCTCTCCAGTCCTTAAGAACTTATTCTTTTTCTTGTATTATTGCATTGGCTGAGTCTGTCAGTACAATATTTAGCGATAGTAGGTGTCCTTAATTTGTTCTTAAATTAATGGAAATGCTTCTAAATCACCTGTAAGTGTGATATTTAAGTTTTCACTAAAGATTCTTTGTTAGTTTACCTTCATTTATCATTTTCTAGGAAGTATTTTTTTAATCAAGAATTTGCATGTCAGATTTTATCATATGCTTTTTTAAATATCTGTTTCAATGATTATACATATTTTTCCTCTTTTCATTTATATTGTGGTGGATTTCACTGATAAATTTTCTGGTCTTTTTTTCTGAGGTAAATCCTACTTGTTCATGATGTATTGTTTTCTTTGTTATTTTCTATATGTGGATTTGATTTGTTAATGTTACTTAGGATTTTGGTATCTATATTCTTCAGTAAGATTGGTATATCACTTTCTTTCCTTAAACACTCTTTGTGTGTGGTATTAGTTAAAGTTGATAACGTCATATAATGATTTTGGTGGTAAGGAAACAATAATATTTAGGCCTCTTTCTGGAAAAATACATATTTTTCTTTTTTTAGTAATTTAATTTGACTTTTTAAAAGCTGTATATGCTTCCTACTGAAAATTAGAAAAGACAAAGTAAGATGCATAATCTCATCAATCAAAAATAGCTACTGTTAGCATTCGAAGTTCCTTCCTTCTGGACTGACTTTTCAGGATAATATGTGCCAAAGATCATGCTGTTCGTACAATTTTACAGCCTGCTTTGTTATTATATGACCTTATATCATAGTGCATTTCTTGTATTATTACGTGATATTACAGAGTAGAACACTTTTTTACCATTTAGCAAGATTTAGATGGTTCCTAGGACTGATATTTTATTTCCCAAAAAGAGAATACCTGACAACGTGGGTCGTGTATTGTGAGAAAGAGTGGCATAAAGAAAGTTAAGACGCCTTCAGAATCTCTCACAAACCCATCATGGTTCTTTAACCCAGGCTGTGGAAAGCAAGTTGGACAGTTTCAAATACAAGTCATGCAAGGGGCATGCTTTACCACAAAATGAGTTTCTAGATAGGCCATGTGTGAGACCTAACTAGGGTATGCAGATTTCCAGTAACGAAGGGATGGAGGCGGTGAGGAAGAAAGGTATTTTCTTCATTTCGTTTTTCTTGGATTGTGTCACTACGCACGCAGCTTGTCAAACGGTGCCTGTTTCTGGAGTGGAATTTGACGGAGGACAGGAGGAAGACAATCCATGGTTTCAGGTTCATTACCTGCCATCAAAGGGGGAAAATCAGTTGACACAATTCTTGTTACTTATAATCCCAGCATTAGGACAGCCGGTAGAAGACTGTGGTGGAAGAACGGGTCCCAGGACGAGCAGCTGCGGCCATTTCTGGGGGCGGCACCTGGAGCGTTTAGTCAGTGCCGTCTGGCAGATTAGTGTAGCGGAAAGAACCAGACTTTGGAGCCAGACAGACCTGGTTTTTAATTCTAACTCTTCTCCTTATCTGCTGTGTAACCAGAGATGGGATATTTAGCCTCTTTGAGCCCTGTCTTTAAGGCTGTGTGTGTGTGTGTGTGTGTGTGTGTATAATACTTCTGCTTGTCATCAGAAGGGCCAGAGAGACATCATGGAGACAAGGCGGGCTCGTGGTCTGCCCCTTGGTCACTGTTGGCTTCTCTGTCCTCTTCCTTCTGAGGTCACAGTTCAACATTGTCTCCTGATTTTCTAGGAACACCTGGAAATAAACTTCTTCACTTTCCTTATATTTATATTAGAGCTATACCCAAGGGTCATAAGTTAACAAAACAGCAACAACAAAATTCTACCTTATTATTTCCTCCCAGAAAGACTTGGCTCTGAGAATCAAGGCCCTGATGGAATCCGGAAGAAGGTGGTGGTCATGTGGCAGACGCCTTGGTTTGGAATCACCTCAAACTGAGTTGGAACCTTGCCTGTGTGCCTCAGTGGCTGTGTGAAATTTAGGGAGATTTCTTAGAACATTCTGGCCAATTTTGGTTAAAGGATGGTTTCAGTAATGCATACTCAGGGTCCTGATCCCTCAGCCGGTCACTTAGCCCTGGAAAATAACCTCTGTTTAGCACTGGCTTGCCACTCAGGAGCGGATCAACTGCTATAGTACTCATTATGCCATTGGCTCCTTAGGACTCTGGGAGATTAATTACAAGTAAATCTTTTTATTAGGCCTGTAGTGCAGAGTGAATGCTGTTTGACCACTTCTGTCTGCTGCTCTCCTGCTGTAGGCCAGGCAGCCTGGAATCAGCCAAGATGCTGGATTTGGGTTCACACCTCAGGCCACCGCTCTCTGGTTGTTTAACTTCACACAAGTCGCTTCC